AGCGAGTCTGGGCTTTATCTCACTTTCTTCGGCCATATTTATACTAAACGACCAGATGTCCACAAGACTGCATCTCCCCACAATTTGAATATTTATTGTTATGTAAATAAATATGTTATTTTTTGGAACACAGATTGGTTACAATTTGCATACACATAAAATTGCATATGCTAGCTCAGACGGTGAAATCACGTGGACTTGAATATTTCCCACCAGCTGTCCCAGTCATTTTACGTTGGTGATTGCCAACATTCCAAGCTCAGCCATTGGAATCCGTCATGCTATTCATTCTAAGTGCCTGGACTATTTGCCAAGCTGGTCAAAATACGTTACTACCGTTACAATCGTGAATCGTGTCGTTCAAATATGGTTGTAATGCTGCAGTTTGCAATGTGGTCAAGGCGTTATTTTTACGTCTCCGCAAACGTCGCGTGACGGTAAAATAGTGAAATAAGCAGGCAAGTGTATAGAATTACATTCTTTATTACTTGGTTAATTTATTTGACTTGACGGAATCGAAAACAAATTCTCTCCCTCCATAATTTTGCAAGTGTAAAATATCAGGTTCCGTACAACGTATTATAAACACTTGACCGTCTGAGCAATCTAAATAGCAGGCCGTTTTTCAACGACTTAACCAGTTAGCTAGTTGGAGTGGTAAATTCTATCATACCCATATTGACGGCGGTTTTTCACCGACTTGACCGGAAAAAGGTTAAAGTAGTTAAATTCTAGCTAGTAGAATGGAAAAAATGAATATTAATTAGCTCATGAATATTAAATAACGACCGGCACTCAAGTCAGGCTGGGCAGAACCCTGGAAATATTACTCACTGATATTTCACTCTAAATGCGTTATGCATGGCAAATATCATCAGTCTGTCTGTCTTAAAAAGTACAACGAAAAAAAAAAAAATTGTGCAATGGAACTATTTTTATCGCTGATATATCATGAGAATGTTATGGTTGGTGAGCATGCTTTGTACAACACATGTATTGACAATATGAGGTTATTATGCGAATAGTATGCACATGGATCGTATTGTCGATGCAACTCCGTATTGCTGAAGTGCATATTTTGCAAATGTTTAAGTTCAGTGACGATCATGCATGCTATAGCACTTCTGCTTGCATTGTGTTTGAAATGTAATGTCTATAACCTGGATTGCTTTCAATGTTAGCGATATAGTTTATCAATATAAAATAAAAATCAGAACTTTCACACCAATGCAGAGATGGCTTTTTCCTGAAACTGTAAATTATATTATTTTCAGTGCTAGATGTATAATGACGGAATGCTCAGGTTCGCCATTACGGTACCATTTTTTGTGAATTGTATCACTGAATTAGAACTAAATATTTTAGTTGAAAGCTATATAATGTAATGACATGCATAAAATTTGTTCTGTATTTTTCAAAATGTTGATTAAGAACTGTTAGTAACTGGACATTATAGAAAAATACATTAAGGCAGTTTGAGCTCAATTCAAATCTTTGCACAACTGCGCATATTACTGCACATAAATGCAGTGCATTATGGGAGAGAACTTCCCATTGCACTGCATCCCACTGGAAGTAAATTATGTAAATGTTTTTACAATATTAGGATTTGTTTCAATAATAGTATCAATGTCGGTGAGAAAATATGGAGATATAAAGAAATAATCGCACCATAGAACCAATGTAAATGCCAATTTTGACTGTTTTTTCCATAACATTTCATATGCTTTGTATCTCAGAAAGCAACTTTGGTGCCTGGAATTTTTTTTTCATTTTCTGTATTGATATAGCATGAATCTATAATAATGAAAATATGAACATGACAGATAATCTTTAATTCAACTCAAACCTCCTTAAAATATGCAAAATAATCTAAAAGTGTCATTTTGTTTGACCTAGTCAGGAAAAACAGGACAAGACAAGTAGATGTGGATCTAGAAAAACAGCACAGAAAAGAAGCAGCACAGAGGATAGCCATTGAGGAAGAAAAGCAAAGGCAGAAAGAAGAGGAAGAACTGAAGAAAAAAATAGGTAAGTGCATGTGATGTTCGATTCTTAGGTCCCATACTTATCACAATTGCTTATAATCTGTCGTATTCCACTTTCAGTATGTCACTTCACTAATGCCTAGAATGCTGTACACCATTTAACTAATGCCTAGGCACAACAGTAGTCATACTGTGATTTATAAATCATTCAAAAGCAGAATATTTCATTGGGGTTCTGAAGTTCCATCAATTTTCACAAAATGTTGTTTTTATAGAAGCTTTTCATCAAATTGCCAATAATCTAGGAGCAAAAATTAGATGGTTTACACTGTCTTTATACATTCAGATTTATGCAAATGTCGCATGCCCTATGTCAAAAGCATATCGAAAAATGTAATACTCCATGTTCATTGGCCAGTTTAAACAAGATATTTGCAGCATTGTAGCTAGGCATAGTGTATAGTGAGTGAAACAATTCTAGGCTATATATTGTATGAGAGAATTCTGTTACTTTGAGTGGAGGAACAAGTTTGAGTCCATATGTAATATTAACAGTTATCCTGTATAATATTGATTGTAGGCTATAACCACACTATCAGCATAGCATTACCTGGTTCTATACTGGACAATGCACAGTCACCAGAACTAAGGACATACTTGGCTGGTCAGGTAAACAAAATGGCTATCTAACTTTGCTATCTAACATCTTAAAGTTCAACATAAAGTGCATCAGAAATTCAAATATGATGGATGTACACAAACTGCAAGCCTACTTACAATCTACAAATTCAACTTTATTTGGGGATATGTGCAATAAATTTTGGGTAATCTGTGACATTCTTTTCTAGATTGCCCGAGCTTGTGTCATTTTCAAGGTTGATGAAATTATTATCTTTGATGAAGCTGGTTTCTCTTCTGAGTAAGTATGCTTTATTGAAACCGCAAATTGAGCGTTTATATTTCACTAAAGACAAAAAAAGTACATTTTTGCCATAAAAGCCATCTTGTTTGGGACTACATGACAGGGCTGTGCAGCCATCTCTCAAATCAAATGGCATTTTACGGTGTTATCCTGGCGTCAACCAGGTTCGGTTGAACACAAGTACTGGTACCTTAAGCACGGACATTAACCAATGACATTAACCAATTTTCTGTCACTGACAGCAGTGCCAGAAAAATTTAGTTTGTAATAATATTTGACTGATATCAGTGAAAATACATGTAGTCTCACAAACCATGGCTTAATGGCAATCCTGTTCGTTGATAGGAGTATCACTGGTGTATACGATGGCGTTGGTAAAAGAGGAAATGCCAATGTACAGATGGCTAGAATATTACAGTATTTAGAATGTCCACAGTAAGTTGATTTATTTCATTATCCAACTCATAAATATTACAAGGTCACAGCATTGGAGTCACTTTCAGTATACTGTGAAAGGATTAATTATTCACTGGGTTTTAATTTTGCTTATTTCGCTGACTGGAAAATGCGTTAAATTAAAACCCAGTCAATATGTCAAATTTAGCATAGAACACATTATCTAAATAATAAAATCGTGAATTTAAAACCCACTGAATATTCTTGAAATGGTAAATCAGCGAAATGTAACCTACCGGTAGTGAAAATTAGTCATTTTACAGTAGTATAGTACACCAGCGGTATTTGAAGTTTTGTAAGACTTTCAAAAAAATGTGTGTAAGCCCTCTCTCAGTTACCTTTGTAACCAGTGACAACGGGTCTCCCTAACGTCACAGTAGAGGCACTCGAAGCAGACAAATTTATAACACAGGTTCGGGTTATGGCATGGACAGCTTCACCGATATTTACCAGTGCAAGGGAGGTGTATGACCAAACACACATGAAATAGTTTCTCACAAAAAATGATTTAATAAATAACAACAAAAAATTGCACACTGGCTAACTATACACAAC